CATATATATATATATATATATATATATATATATATATATATATATATATATATATATATATATATATATATATATATATAGATATACCAAAATAAAAGTTGAAACATCTTTTAATTCTTATTTGGTAATTATCAGTTTAGTTACTTAAATATAACAAAATTTTGCCAAAGTATAGAAACATAATTAATTTGAACTACTGCTATTAGTTTTATTTCCTTGAAATATATGATTTATTCAATTCTGTTCAATTTAAAAAGTATATTAATATTATTGTATAATTGAATTATTTAGTATATTAAACAAAAATTATAATAAATTCATTTTATATGACATATATTTTAAAAATGTGTCTTATGATGACATACACATTTTGTTTTGAGAGAACATATGCATATTTGACTTGCTATTGATAGCTCACAAACAAACAAACAAACAAACATGTATCAATAAAATTTTTAGAACATGATTTAAATAATTTTATTAGATGAGTGGAAATTTTTTATCATATGTGTGTTATAATATCAATGTAATAAGTTCTAGAGCCTAATTAAAACCAAGAGGCTAATAAAAGTAGACAAGCTGCATGCTTGCATATTTGTTTCACTAGTACTTGTCACTTATGTTGTTTATGTATGTAACGGAGAATTGTATAGAAAGGTGCATACTATAGGAATGCATTTACAAAATCTGTGAATTGTGATAACTTGTTTTTTTTAAGCTTAAAAAAGCATTAAATTAAAAAACCGAACAGCCTCATCAATCTTCCCAACACACAGATTTATAGACGCTACCGTACATTTTCATCTAATAAAACTTTTGAAGTTGTAAGTTTAACAAAACAATCAAAAAATTTAAAAAAAAAACAGACGAGGAAACGATATTCGTGATCGGCATTTAAGATAAAACTTGGACTTTTTAAACATAGAACTCTTATTTCTTTACCATTAGATATTCTGTCAAACATTTTTTAGTGCGCTCTATACAAATTCATTCACCTCACGAACATGACACACGTTGAATGACGCTGTTTTTTATAACGCAGTTTACATCAATGAAACATCTTGTAGACATAGAAAGAAACACTTAAATAAATTCCAACGCAACCGGAGCCCCTTATAAAACCCACACTAAGTATTACCGAAGCAGATGAAATATTTTAAAAAATAATTAGTTCATTTAAGTCGAATGTTAAATATTAGCTATTATCATAATAAGGTACTTTATCAGAACTACTAAAGTTGCAACCACCATTATCATAATTATTATAGTTGCTATTAGCATCTTCAATGTGAACAAAAACGTTAGCAGCATCAGTAGAAGTTCCAGCACCATTAATATTTGATACTTTGTGCCCGTGATTGTGTTTCTGAAGCCTCATTAAGGCAGGGTCGTCACTTGTTGTAGAGCTGTCCTTGTATTCATTGAGCTTGGTAGTTCTGAAGGTCTTCTCACTATCAATATAATCGTCATCATCGAATTCTCCCTCAATGTCATGCTGACGTAATAGCCTCCACGGTGATACATTGCTTCGCTTCCATTTATACAAAACAAGAAGTGAAATGATGAGGACGATGAGAGCAAGAGAACCTGATTAACATATTTTCGATTATTTAACTGGTCTAAAAATTATTAAATCAAGTAGCTACTTAATCAAACTAAAATAAACAACAGAACCGTTTAACATAATTTCAACTAATGAAATAATAAAAATACTTACATAAACCAAGCGACAGAGGAACTATTGAAACAAAAGATGTCGTCGAAGATGTTGTTTTTTTGTTATCACTAATTTCTCCGTGTTGAATTTTTGTGTTGGTGTGTTCATATAAAGTTGAGGACCAATGATTTAATTGTTGCAGAGGATCAAAAAATATGAGACTTAGTAGAGGACCGAGTGTTCTAGCGTAAGTAGCCACAACATCAGTTGCTGCAGGCTCCTTGCAACAGTGCAGTCCTATTGTGTACTGATGATAATTTTTATGACGGTTTTAATGCTATCATATGCAAAGTTATCAGCTTAATTCAACAAAAGAGTGAAAGTTTAATGCAACACAATTTCATTCTTCATGAAATTAAAAAAACAATAACAATGACATGGCAGAGATTTACAAAAATTTTCAACCAGCAAACAAACCATAGTGATGTTGATGAAATGCTTCTTAACATAATTGAGTAAAGAGAATTCGTTTGAAAGTGTGGAAAGCATATCTCGTTTATTACACATCAATAGTGTAGACAGGTACGATTTTGTCAAATTAGATTTTACAAGTTGTGTGATGTTATCATCTCGACTGGCTCTGCATTAAATGTTTTCTTGTTCAAGTTTCATTCATTTATTAAGTAATAGTAAACTAATTTTTTGCCTACACTACTCACAAAAAATTTACGTGGCCTGCTTCTAAAGATATGATGGAATCAATTCTTTCGGAACTCAATATTTTCTTAATAACTTGCACTTGGGCATCAGCATTTAGATCGGCATCCCCTTTAAACTCCAACACAGAACCAGAGTGAGAATCTTTATTGTCCGGACAACCATCCCCATTATTATCAGGATCGTTAAAATTATCAGTCACATGATTATGTCTCAACACAGGAAGAAACTTGAGATGGTGCGTCGTTAACAATGAAGAGAAAAATGCACTTTCAGCAGAGTTCTTCAAATTCAAACCTTTTGAAATATTTGTTCACAAAGTTTATGGCAACAGTTGACTAACTATTCAATCATTTAAAAATGATCACCAATAAAATTTTAAATGAAAAAAGGAATGAGCAAACCAGCCAGGATATGTCTGATTACTCGAATAATGACTTCCCCACCAATCCTCTGACTACCATCCAGTTGACTAACCACCAGGACATTTTTTTTCATCTTTTTATTCTCATCGTTGTCCTCATTGGATGTTAAGTTGAATAAGAGCAATGGCTTATTTTCAGATCCCAGTCTGAAATTCGTATGCCATTTTTTTTATAAAAAAATCAACAGATTAATTTAATTTAATCCTACAATTCTGTATAAAAACAACTTAAATAAAATCCCAGTTGACTGCACAAAATAACTAATTATGACTATCCTTTATTAAAAACTAAAACAAACTTTTCATATAGTAACGACAAGCAAAACAACAAAAATGATGGTGTAATTTGCAGTGAATGAACATCACAAGTACCCTAACCAAACGTAACCTTAACCCTAACCTGGTTAAATAGAATCTGGCATTAAAATAATCACCAGCAGTCATCAGCTCAGTTTCTTCATAGATAGCAGCGACAGTCATGTAGTTCATTTGCAGATTGCTAGAAATGTTGAAATCATTCTCAAGAGACCAAGTATACAGCCATGATGTTGAGCCAATGTTTTCAAGCTGGAACATTATGAAGACGTTGCCATCCTCTGTTACTTCAATCTTTCTTGTTTCACTCTTATAACTGATATACACAACACAAATGTGATAACTTTGATGAGCACATATGTAAATGTAATTGAGAGAATTGAAATAAAAATCTATTAATCAAAAATGACAATGCGGGTGAATGAGGCTGATATTAACTTGAGTTTAGCAGCAGTGACTTCATATTTTCCAGGACTGACAATTCTCCAGAACTCTCCAGAACTTGTTGATGAGATGTCGTGGTTGATGTTCGAAACAAAGATGGTCACATGTGCAAGAGGTTCTCCGGTGTTTTTATCTACCGTGTAACCCCAAAAGCCTTTGTGCACCTTATCATAAATAAGTTCAATTTCCAATTTCTTACTTTCATTTCAGATCCCAAAAACAAATTTTATGGCTCTCAAAACGTTTAAAAATTAATACTTTAGAAATGAGATATACAATTATTTTTATAACAGAATAAAATATAGTAAACCTGAGTGAGGTAAACTAAAAGAGGTTCTTTATTGTCATGCCAGTACTTCATCAACTGAGTAGACGCTGGAAACTTGGTGCAGCTGATTTCAAGAGTAATTTCAAAGCAATTTGTGTGAAGGTAGTTCCAATCCTGCATGCCCCCACTCACTGAGTACCACGATGCTCCGTTTGTTATGCCCCCTTCAAATGAATCACCCTGCTCTGCACCACATTGGGGCTTCCTTGTCATGTAGGGATGTGCACGAGCATATGATGAGGCCAGCATGCGAAATGTTTCATCGTCTGGACACTTGCTGTACACACTATTACCATCTGTTGCATCGTCATAAGGATAGTTAGCTACTAATGAACCACCATGCAAATTTGCAGATAACACAAAATCATTTGCTTGCGACCAGGCCATAACTGATTTGGTTTCTACTTCTTGAACCTCTGGAGTGGATGATAAGCGTTTTGGAAAGTTGCGATTGAGATCAACACCATTTGCATTTGCTCTGCCTTGTACACTATCCACATCCCCTTCGACTGAAATTTCATAACCATCTGGATTCATGGATGGCATGATGTGAATAGTTGTCAGCTCAATCAACAAATCGACATAATCCGATTTTTTGTGGTTGATGCACAACAACTTGATGAGGTTGACAAGAAGAAATCTACCAACCACCTCATTTCCATGCATGTTTCCAATGTACTTGAATGCTGGCACTCCTGCAATGAAACATTCAATAAGTCAATATGTACAAAGCCAGTATTCACCACAATACACCATCAATAATTATTTATTGATTATTACTAGCATGGAGAGTAGCATGAAAATAATGAAAGCTTTGTAATGTTGTATAATGAAGCAGAATAAATAAATTACAACCTGTCCTATGCACACCTGGACTTTTTGAAATTTCAACAACCCAGAGCTCCCTCTGTTTGACTGACTTTCCAATGCTGTAAAGCCTCATGATGCCAGGACATTGATCAACTATTTTTGTTAGCATGGCTGTCATCTCTTCGTAGTTTAAATGATTTGAATCTTCAACATCTTTTGCTATGTTGGACCAAATTTTCATTTCATTTGTTAATTTTAAAAGCTTTGAGATGTTTGACTGTTTAATACTCAACACTGGATTCATGTAAAAATTAATTCTTGTAACATTTTTTGACATGACATAAAAACTGCTGCTGCCAACTGTTTGCTTGTAGCCATTGGCAAATACCTCAACTTTATAAAATGCAGATGGAATCATTTTCTTGAACTTCCCATTTGCATCACTGTACAAAGTGCTTCCTCCAATTCTGATTAGGACATAAGGAATCGACTTTTGTGTAGTTTCATCAAGAATGTTTCCCTTCAAGATTGTCAGACATTTTTGTAATAATGAAATAGTTGGTTCCCTGTTTAGTTCAAACAGATTTGCTTCATTGTAAGAATTTATTTGGCCACAGCAAGCTAATGATATTTCAATTGCTATAGGGATATCAAATAAATGACTGTTGTCAATCATCGATGATATAACGTTATAATAATTAACATCATTCCTGAAGCTAGCAGAGTTTGAAATATTGCATGATTTGTTCAACTTCATGAGACTGTGAGATTTTTTATACGAGTTGGCAAGTTCTTGCGCAAAGACAAATTCTTCAAAACTAAGATTTGATGATGGTGCTGGTGCATATACACCAAAATTTCTATTGTCAAAAATTGTTAGCATATCAAAGTGATGTTTTTTAAAAAATGTTAGTAAAGCCAGGGACTCAGGTTGCAGCTCATTTTCTTTTATTGCTTTATTATCTTTTACCACTTGAAACATTTCATTCAATATATCAACATTATTGCTGTTCACGGCATCATGTCCACAACTTAAACTCAAGTAATTCAGCTTATCTGGATTAACTGAGGGCAAGATATAAATACTTGTGTCTGATAATATTTCCCTGACAATTTTACTTTTATGTAAATCAAGCAGGAAGAATCTGGCAAACTGCATAAGGAAGCTGTGGGCAATGTCTGATATACCAAGCAAAATTATATTTGTTTTTTCTATTTTTACATTAGTTGTATTATCACTTATAACCATAACATTAATTTCACTGTTTTGAGCACTCTTACCCAAACTCAAATGTTTAAAATAATTGGGGAATGTTTTGGACATTTCCATAAAGAAAATATGCTCTCTTGTGTAGTTTTCATAATGTAATAAATTATGACTCACTGTCTTCGAATAACTATGTCCAAACAAATTAAGAAGACTGATGACGAGAAGATGTAAAGAAAAATTGGGTAGACTTAGACTCCCAGCAGCAATAAAATATTTTGGTTTTAACATTTCATGTAAAAATGAATTTGATCAACCAACAGGACAGGACAATAAACAAACTTAGAAAACAAATCCAGTTAATTAAATCAATTATTAAAGATTAAATTAATAAACCAAATCAAATAAATTACAAATTATATAAAAATATATATAATTATTTAAAATTTAAGTAAATAAAAATTAAATTACTAATAATTATAATGATTACTATTAACAATTAACTTAAAACAGATTCTGAAGATAAAAATTAAAAAGTTGAAAATTTAATCAAGTTAACTAATAAAATCTGTTAAATGTTGTTTTATTACTAACATTTTAATTTTACTGTTTGCTTTATTAATTATTTATTCATGCAAACTACTAATTGTAGGTTAATTGTTATTGTATATTTATATATTTACATTATAATTATAATAAGGATTAATTAGAAATTAATTATTTACTAGTATTTACTAAGATATTAAGATGTAAAAGTAGATAAATGTAAATTAGATGAGTAAATGTAAATTAGACTAATTTATTTAAAGAAAACACCGGAGTTTCAGACTTATTTTTAAATTTAAAAATGAATTCAGATCAATATTTTACATTATTAATATTATAAATTATATTATTTTATTAAAATTATTAATATTATAAATTATATTATTATTAAAATATTATAAACACATATTACGATAATTTATTGACTCTGGTTGTAAAAGTAAAATGTTAAAGAATTACAAAAACGCATTATATCAATAAATTTTTCGAATTGTTTAGCGGTAAAAGTTAATAATAAGATAATATATAATAATTCAATTCATCTATCCATCCATCCATCCATTCATCCAATCAGAATTCACTTGTGGATGATATATAATAAACTGCAAAACAATTTATCAAAAACTTATGCGATACTTTTTGGTACTAAAATTGTGCTAAAAAATTATCCTAAAAAACACAAACAAGTGAAGAAGAAGAAGCACAAACTTGAACGGAGTGAGAAGCCCCCTTGCCACATCAAGGCAGCCGTTCACGAGGGGGTTAATAAAACGACAGTCTAGAAATAAGTAACGAATGTCTAGTAATAATAAATCACTTAACTAAAATATAGCAAAAATAATATCGTATTGATTGCTGTGTTTGATTGCTGGTGTTGATGTTGTGTTTAACAAAATACAACACAAATAAACTAGAACGTAAGAAAGAAAGAATAGAGTCCCTAACTTACCTATGTTCACTAAATTAGCTCACCTACCTATGTTCAATTAGCTCAACTTATGAATTAATCCTACCTAGCTGTACAATTACGAAGAAAAAAGTAAGGAAAAGTAGATAAAACATCAAGCAAACAAAACAAAAAACGTATGTATGTATGTGTGTATGTATGTGTGTATGTATGTGTGTGTGTGTATGTATGACCGCGGAATAATAATAATAAAATATACGAACAAATCTAGAATTAATAAGTAACGAATAAAATAAACGAACAATAACAAGTAATGAATGGTCAAATAATAAACAATTTAACTAAACTTAAATAAAATATAACGAAAATATTGTGTTGATTGTTGTGTTGGATTGCTGCTGTTGGTGTTGTGTTGAACAAAAAATAACACAAAACAATACAAATGAACTAAAACGTAAGAAAGAAAGAATAGAGTCCCTAACTTACCTATGTTCACTAAATTAACTCACCTACCTATGTTCAATTACCTCAACTTACAAATTAATCCTACCTATTTGTACAATTACGAAGAAAAAAGTAAGGAAAAGAGAATAAAACATCAAGCAAACAAAACAACGAATATATGTATGTATGTATGTGTTTGTGTGGGCGTATGTATGACCGCGCAATAATAACAATAAAATATACGAACAAATCTAGAAATAATAAGTAACGAATAAAATAAACGAACAAATCTAGAAATAATAAGTAATGAATGGACAAATAATAATAAACAATTTAACTAAACTTAACTAAAATATAACGAAAATACTGTGTTGATTGTTGTGTTGGATTGCTGCTGTTGGTGTTGTGTTGAACAAAAAATAACACCAAACAATACAAATGAACTAAAACGTAAGAAAGAAAGAATAGAGTCCCTAACTTACCTATGTTCACTAAATTAACTCACCTACCTATGTTCAATTACCTCAACTTACAAATTAATCCTACCTATTTGTACAATTACGAAGAAAAACGTAAGGAAAAGAGAATAAAACATCAAGCAAACAAAACAAAAAATGTATGTATGTATGTGTGTATGTATGTGTGTATGTATGTGTGTATGTATGTGTGTATGCATGTGTGTGTGTGTGTATGTATGACCGCGCAATAATAATAACAATAAAATATACGAACAAATCTAGAATTAATAAGTAACGAATAAAATAAACGAACAAATCTGGAGATAATAAGTAACGAATGGTCTAGTAATAATAAACAACTTAATTAAACTTAACTAAAATATAACAAAAATAATATTGTGTTGATTGTTGTGTTTGATTGCTTTGTTGGTGTTGTGTTGAACAAAAAATAACACAAAACAATACAAATGAACTAAAACGTAAGAAAGAAAGAATAGAGTCCCTAACTTACCTATGTTCACTAAATTAACTCACCTACCTATGTTCAATTACCTCAACTTACGAATTAATCCTACCTATTTGTACAATTACAAAGAAAAAAGTAGAGAAAAAAGAAAAAACATCAAGCAAACAAAACAACGATTATATGTATGTATGTGTTTATGTATTGTATGTATGTATGACCGCGCAATGATAACAATAAAATAAACGAACAAGTCTAGAAATAATATGTAACGAATTAAATAAATGAACAATTCTAGAAATATCAAGTAACGAATTAAATAAACGAACAAATCTAGTAATAATAAGTAACGAATACGTCTAGAAATAATAAATAACTTAACTAAAATAAAGAAATAAAAAAATGGACCAGGCGCTAAGGGAATGCCCTAAAGCGCCCGGTCGGGTTTCAACGCATTTTCGGCTCCTATTTATACCAGTTTCATTCATATATTCTTATCATTTCAATCATTGACATCATTAAAAAACTTTATTTAATGTATGGGAAACATTCTTATAAGTGTTTAACAACAATATATTAACTATACTAAAATGAATTCAACGACCGCCTACGGACTTCCTGATTGGAAGGTTCGAGTATGAGTATACGTTTAGCTAGTTGAATTCAAATTTAATCGAGATCACTCCTTTTTCACATAACTATTGAAAAATGAAAATATGTATTTCTTTTACTTCATTTCTTTTATATATTATACTTACAATCAATTCAATCATTAACATCTGTAAAAATTTTATTGATTCAATGTTATTGATTTTTGATTTTATGTAATTCACTAATATACATTCTTGACAACAGAGCTACTCAAACTTCGAAACATTTTGATTGATTGACTGGTTGGAACTGCTGTATTTCTTTTTATGTAGACATATAATCTTAGTAATTATTTTAATACATGAATTCTAAATTCTTTATATATATTTATTATATAACTTCCTTATCAAACCAACCGAAATCAATGTTACATGTGTATGTACGCGCGCGGTTCAAATCAAATTATTTCGAGAGAATTCAAAATAATTTGACTCCACACACCTTACTACACTTTAATTGTAAAATTTAAATGTAAAAATATATATATATATATATATATATATATAATAACTACACATATCTATCTATTTATAGAAATCGAATACAATGTTTATTCCGGCTAATT